GGAGAGAGAGAGAGAGGAGAGAGAGAGAGAGAGGAGAGAGAGAGAGAGAGAGAGAGAGAGAGAGAGAGAGAGAGAGAGAGAGAGAGAGAGGCAGAGGAGCCGCCGCTACTGTGGAGGTCGAGAGACTGGATACGATGGTCATCCGCAGATACGGAGGGAGGTGAAGGAGTACGGGCTAGGGTCGTCACTCTGCTTATCTGCAGCTGGTAGGCAATGTATGGAGGAAAAGGAGAAAAAGATGGGGAGATCAGGGATAGGTGATTACCCTGCAAGTGGGGAGAAGGAGGAGGACGAGGCGTAGGTAATTCACCACTTCGAATTTGTAATTCATTCTAGCAAGCATTCAGACACCTAATTCTGTAGCTTGTTGACGTCCCTTCGAAAATTGAATATGTTGTCTCCATACAGCTCTCCTTGTGTTTATCGCTCACTTTTTCCGTCTGCATCCCCTTTCCGCCTCACATCTCCCTCTCGTCATGTATCCGTCTCTCTTCTTTAGTATCCATCCCTTTGTGATATTTATTCACTTTCGATGATAACACAAAAGCAAATATTCTAAAAGCAAATATTCTGTGTTATCATCGAAAGTGAATAAATATCACAATGTCTGAGACGATACATCCATCCCTTTCTTTGTGCCGTGAATGTCCCTCAGCATCCATGCATGATTATGGATCCTCTAACGTTTCATCCCTCTCCAAAATGTACGTGTCCCTCTCTCTCACACACCGCACGCTCACCCCTCACTCTCTCCGCTCTGCCCAGGTATCGGAGAGCCGCAGTCAGCTGAGTACACCAGCCGTCGAGGCGACCCCGCCACCACCGGCGGCGACGGCGGCGGCGGCGCCTGAGGCAGCCTCCATAGCGGTGAGCGCGGGGGTCGAATGGGGATGTGGGAGTGATTGTAAGGGGCGCAGTGTTAGCCGTAGTAAGGGGCTGACACGGTGGATTTTAATGATACGGAAGACGTCCTACAATGGCAGTCCTGACTTGAGATTTCGATAGGACCTTAATTTAAGTCATGCATAATGAAAATATGAAATAGTTGGAAACCAACAGTTGCAAACATTGTTTGAATACCACTGTCGGTGTTCTAAAAAAAAAAAAATGTACAGCTTCAACGTAAATTTTTAGGTTGTCTGCTCTGGCGATAGCCAGGAGCTTTGCATTGGTCGTTTGCTGTGACCTATTACGACCCTCGTCCCTCAGGTCAAGCGGCGAGCCAGCACCGACCTCCGCGTGGCCTCCAAGCGGCTCCACACCTCCCCTCCACCGGCGCCGCCGCCGGCTCCACCGCCCGCCGTCAGCGCCACCTACACAGCGCCGGGGGCGATAGTAGCGCCTCTGGCGGCGGCCGGCCGACTCACCGCCGTGCTGCCGGCCGCCGGTCCCGAGCTGCCTGAACTGCAGCTGGAGGCGGAACACGGCGGGACGGCCGGACTGCACCTGCTGACCTGTCGGCAGGGCGCGGAGGTGAACAGTGGGGACGGGTCCGAGGGAGGTATCAGAGACCTGTTGACAGGGGTCAGCTCACAGGTCAGTAGTGGGACCGGTCAGAGCCGGGACTTCTGCTCGCCTGCCGATAGGTGCGGGTCAGAGGGCATCTACGACTTATGCTGCTGACCTTTCGGTGGGGATGGGTCAGAGGGATCTTTAGGGGCATTGTAAGGTCATAGTTTAAGGGACTGCTGTGGTGAGCACTGAGCAGAAGTGTACACTGTGTGCAAAAATGTGAAACAATCAATGCAATGCGCCCTGTGTAGCGTTCTTGCTGTTTCATTTTGTTGTCACTGAATCTGTTTCGCCATTTGTACTGATCTGATGGTGCAGTATTTTACATACCCCCCCCCCGGTCCTCAGTTCCGCTGGCGGACGGTGCTCTCCTCCCCTGCGGTGGCTCTCCGCTGCTGTCTGTTGAATGCTGCCCCCCCCCCCCCCCGCCCTCAGTTCCGCTGGCGGACGGTGCTCTCCTCCCCGGCGGTGGCTCTCCGCTGCTGCGAGGAGCGCTGCCTGGCCTGGACTGCCGACGGCTCGCTGCTCTGCCTCTCTCGCGCCGGCCGGCTCCTCCTGCCCCCTCTGGCCATGCCGGGGCCCGTGGCGCGAGTGGCCGCCCGCGGCCGGCACGTGCTGGTGGTCACGTGCGCCGCGGAGGTGAGCACGTGGGACGTGCGCGCGGTGGCGGCGCGCGTGCGCCGGGAGCCGGCGGCGCATCTACTGCGCGGCGGCGCGCGGCTGACGGGCTGTACGCTGACCGAGGACGGGCGGCCGGTACTTGTCGTGTCCTCAGGCAGGGCGTACCTCTACAGCGAGACCATGGCCGGCTGGCAGCTGGTCACCGGTGAGTGGCGGAGGGGAAAGAGTGAGAGGAGGAGAGTGAGGGGAGGAAGAGAGTGGTGGAGGGAAGGACAGAAATGGCAAGTGAAGCGGATGAGAGAATCGGGGCCATGGGCTCTCAGAAGTGGGTCGGAAACGGATGGAACATCTTTGCTTGAGGAGGGAAACTTGAGAAGTGTGTTGATGGTATAATAGTACACGATGCTCCTTTTGTTCTCGAGCTCTCGTAAAGTAGTCTTCGTTCGTCTCTTTTTATGCCTAGGGTGATATACTTTCATTATGACCTAGTAGTTAGTAGTTGAGGCACCACAGCTCATTTATCTCACACACGCTCTCTCCCCAGACGGCCGTGCGCCGGGCGCCGCCCTGTCCGAGGTGCAGCCGCAGCTGCCGGCCGCCCCTGCCAGCGGTCAGGCGCTGGCTGTACTGATGGCCCAGGTGCGTCGGCTGCGGCCGGCCGCCCCCGCCGCCGCCCCCGCCCTGGCGGCCGCCGCCGCCGACCCCCAGCTGGCTGCCGACGCCGCCGCCTCCTTCCTCGATTCGCAGGTACGTCCGTGTACTTGAGATGGCGATATGAATTGCCTTGGCGGGTGGTGTTATGTGGGAACAATCCTGCGTGTGGAAACAATGCTATTTTTTTCTTATGTAATCATCCCGCATCTGCAGGTATACTATGCCTTCGACTCTGTCTCACACATCTAAGCTTTACTAATCTTGCGGGTTTTTTATCCCTTATCCCGTAGCTCGTGTTATTTTGCATTCGGCCTCTCACCCACTCTGACCCCGGGTGGCAGCTGCGGTGGCTCTTGGTTCCCTAGGGGAGTACTCACTGTAACCTCTGACCCGTGACCTGACCCCAGATGGCAGCTGCGGTGGCTCTCGGCTCGCCGGGCGAAACTCGCTCTGGCCTATGACCTGACCTCTGACCTGACCTCTGACCCGTGACCTGACCTCTAACAGGTGGCCGCTGCGGTGGCCCTGGGCTCACCGGGCGAGTACTCGCTGTGGCTGGCGGCTCTGTTCCGTCAGCTGGCCTCCTGCGGGGACGAGGCTCGGCTGAGGGACCTCTGCGAGCGGCTACTGGGGCCGGCCCACTCCGGCGCCAGCCTCAGCGCCAGTCCGACCGCTGAGCTGGGGCTGGACGGCAGGACACTGCTCAAAGAGGTGGGTAAAGAGGGACGGCAGGACACTGCTCAAAGAGGTGGGTACAGAGGGACGGCAGGACACTGCTCAAAGAGGTGGGTACAGACGGCAGGACACTGCTCAAAGAGGTGGGTACTGGACGGCAGGACACTGCTCAAAGAGGTGGGTAAAGAGGGACGGCAGGACACTGCTCAAAGAGGTGGGTACAGACGGCAGGACACTGCTCAAAGAGGTGGGTACAGACGGCAGGACACTGCTCAAAGAGGTGGGTACAGACGGCAGGACACTGCTCAAAGAGGTGGGTACAGACGGCAGGACACTGCTCAAAGAGGTGGGTACTGGACGGCAGGACACTGCTCAAAGAGGTGGGTACAGACGGCAGGACACTGCTCAAAGAGGTGGGTACTGGACGGCAGGACACTGCTCAAAGAGGTGGGTACAGACGGCAGGACACTGCTCAAAGAGGTGGGTACAGACGGCAGGACACTGCTCAAAGAGGTGGGTACAGACGGCAGGACACTGCTCAAAGAGGTGGGTACAGACGGCAGGACACTGCTCAAAGAGGTGGGTACAGACGGCAGGACACTGCTCAAAGAGGTGGGTACTGGACGGCAGGACACTGCTCAAAGAGGTGGGTACAGACGGCAGGACACTGCTCAAAGAGGTGGGTAAAGTTTTACTGACATAGGCGGAAGAACACTTTGTGAGACCTTCATAGGCGGTCCCAGGGGGGGGGGGGGGCACGGGGGCCATGGCCCCCCCTTTGGTGCTGAAAGGTGGGGCCATACTATCTTTTGGCCCCACCTTTCAGATCGAACAAAAGTCCTAGAAAAGCTTTTTGTATGTTTCATTTTCTTTCTTGCGCCATCAAAGGATGTAAATTTCACTCATGTGTGGGCTCAGTTTCGTATTCTGTCAATTTGGCGGTCAGCGTCGCTGGCACCGGTTCACGAGTATGGCCGGATCTTATATGGAATATCAGCGTGGGTTTACTTGAGACTCTCGTAGGCCCAGCAATGGCTGGCATGAGACCCTCTTCCCAGTGGCGGGTGGGCCCTGCCAAATGAGCGTGGCTCTACGACACTAAAGTAAGACCTCATGGGTTGGTGCGGTGCACCTCAGAAGCCCGGTGGTGACGCCGTATGCCGGCTTGGTTTCTGAAGGATTAGTGTGGAATCTCCGGGGCCTGCATAGAGTTTGCATTAGCTAGTATGCAATTTCAGAGGCCTGTATGCATGTAATGTGTACATACACAGTGGCGGTCGCGGGGGGCATCAGGGCCATGCCCCCCCCCCCCCCAAGGCACATAAAGGGGGCCATCATATCATTTGCCCCCCCTCAAGCAAGCGATGGGCCCCCCGATAGGTGTATGGGACCCTGGCCCTGATTCGATCGTCACGAGGCTAAAAAAAAAAACACGCCCAGCTATTAATATAGCTCCCACACCGGTCTTTGATCGTCCAACACTGACCTCTGAGGGAACTTCAGTGGCGGTCAAGCGCCCACGTTGACCGCTAAGAGCCCATATCGACCTCTGAGGCCCCACATCTGACCTATGAGGACCCCTAACCGGCCTCAGGGGCCCCAACCGGCGTCTGAGGGTCTCACACTGGTCTCTAGTGACCTTATTGCTGTCTCTGGTGCCCCAAGACGAACATTTAGGTGCCAATGAGGGCCCCGCATTGGCTGCTGAAGACCCGACGCTGGCCTCTAAGGGCCTGCATTGGCCTCTGAGGAGGGCTCATCTTGGCCTTTGAGGGCCCTCTGCTGGCCTCTGGGTTCCAACGACGGCTCATTCCGGTCTTTTAGGGCCCCACGCTGACCTCTGAGGGCCCCATGTTGGCCTGTAATGAGTAGGACATAAGCCTCTGAGAGCCCAACTCGGTCTCTGATGGTCTCAAACTACTGGCCTTTGCAGTTTGCAGGCCCTGTACTGGTCTCTGAGGGCCCTAAACTGGCCTCTAAGTAAAAACATACATGGGTGGGCTTCTGAAGATCACAGGGCTCACGCAGACTCCTGCACAGCCGTAAGTTGGTCCTGATCGAGATTACTTTACGTCCTGATGGTCCCGCGTAGATTCCTTAATATTTCGACGTCGGGACCCCATGAGCCGGTGTGGGTCCTGGGGCTGGCAGAGACTGATTAAGTCCTTAGGGCTCAGGGACAGTCTTTTTAGCAGTAGGACTATAAGGCAGGTTGAGTGAGTCCCAATAGAGCCGTTGCGAGGCCCCGCGCGAGTCGCGCGCGGCCCTCAGATGCCAATTTTGAAAACCAGGAACCTGTGGGGCCGGGGGTCTCCAGAGGTCGGTGTACCTACTTTCTCCCGCCGCTACACATCTATATGGGTAAATGTCATAGTCTGAAAATGCTCTCTGGGTTTCACATGCTTGTTCAAATCCAGAGGTATCCGTACTTTTCCGAATTGTTTTATTGTGGTAAGGTCATGAATCCGCGTGCCCGACCTTCCAGTATATGCTACACCGATCCGTCGCCATGGTGCAGTTGCCCGACCTGTGGAAACACCGTGGGACGGGAAATGGAACTGGTGCTTTTGCCTTAAATTGAGCTTAAAGATTTCACGCAAGAATGAGGTGGATGAAGCATAAGTAATGCCAACTGCGCGGCGCCTCGTGGACGTAAAAAATTAGCCGATCACCCCCCCCCCCCTCCGGTGACTGATAAATGTTATGTCCCGCGAGTATGACTTTGGCCCCCCCCCCCCCCTTTTGCTAGCGGCTGCGACCGCCAGTGGAGACCTTACGCCTTTTTCGGACTGTTATCGTCCTTGCTTGCATTTGGGTGGTTTGTTGCCCTCGCTTGCGTCATTTCAGTTATGTATTTCGATGAAACTCAAGTGCCTCGATTTTAGTAGCCCCATGAAAGGTGTAACATGGAAAATGCGTGGTCTTGTAAATGGTTCCGCAGCTTGACTGATAAGTACCAGATATTTCGAACGAGGTCACACGGGTGCCATGAGGTCTGTACCGTATTTCCGTATTCCGATGACTGTGCGTTATCAAGCCACAATCGCTGTGTGTACATATCTGTCTCGCCGCTGACCCTATGCCGGCGCGTCTGTGTCGGCAGCTGCTGCCTCTGCTGGTGTCCCACCTCAGTCTGCAGCGGCTCTACACCGAGATCAAAGACCAGCTGGACTGTGTGGAGCTGGCCGACTCCATATAGGTACAGAGGGAGAGCCTGCCACCTCTACACAGAGATCAAGGACCAGCTGGACTGTGTGGAGCCGGCCGACTCCATATAGGTACAGAGGGAGAGCCTGCCACCTCTACACCGATACCAAGGACCAGCTGGACTGTGTGGAGCTGGCCGACTCCATATAGGTACAGAGGGAGAGCCTGCCACCTCTACACCGATACCAAGGACCAGCTGGACTGTGTCGAGCTGGCCGACTCCATATAGTTAGGTACAGAGGGAGAGCCTGCCACCTCTACACCGAGACCAAGGACCAGCTGGACTGTGTGGAGCCGGCCGACGAGCTGTAGAAGCAGAGGGAGATCCTGCCGCCCTCCTGACTCCTGAGACACAGGACGAGGTGCGGTTACTGGGGCGGGGAACACACTGCCACACTACCTGGGTGGAGGGAACTACTCGGGACCCGGTGACCAGCGCCAGCGGTGTAAACGAGCTATGCAGCTAACGCCTGTGTTCAGAAGAGGCTGAATAGTCGGGTAGCGTGTTACATTTGTACAATGGTTTAGTGTACATCTGTAGGTGCTGCTGGATAGGGCAGGTTTTTGACAAGTCTACGTAGGTTGAAGTCCTCACATCCGTGTGTCCCGGGTACCGTGCGGCGGCTCCGTGAATGGCGGCCGTCTGCGTCAGGTACTGCCAATCGGACACCCATTCGACTGAGCTAACAGTTACACTACGGCGTAGGTACTGACGTGACGTCCCGCGTCGTATGACGTCAATGTCCTGCCGTCATCTAGCCATTGTTACACCCATTCACTGCCACTTGGTCACTGCCCTGGCCCGGTCGCTTGTTCGCTTGAGATGGATAAAACGTGTTCTACGCTGTAGGATCGCCGGCGTGTTGCTAGGCAACCGGCAAAGCACGCAGGCTGAACAATCTCCCAGTCAAGTGGTAGCTCTGGAGGTTCATAGAGATTTGATAGTGAGGCTGTTGGTTTTGATATGTTCTGTACTAAATGCCGAGAATAAGTGATTTTGTACGATGTGTCCGAAGTACAAAGGTTGTGTTTTTCGAAGCGGGAATGCTAAATGGAAGCCATTGTCCCCTTTTCGAATCAATTGAGTTGTGCTTTTGTTTTGTCGATAGATAGGTTGATTTTGGCATTTATTGCCGATTGTTCCGTGACATTGTATTTTGCCAGTCAACTCGTTTCATTTTGCGTCGTTTACTTGTGCTGGTTGTTTTGTACGGCTTTTTTGAAGGTTACGTATGCGCTGGCACTGCGCTGTTCTGAGAGAATGGTGATTGGGAGCTGCCAAGTAAAGTAGTCGCCAGATGCTACTGTTATCATCTGTGAGAGCTGATGAAAACTGAAAATAGAATTGTTTGATTTTCATGACAGGTTTTTCTTGCAACATAGCTGTTGTCTCTCAAAGTACCAATCTATGCTTCGTGCGCTTACGGCTTTCAATCATTGACATGACTTCCAAGTTCGATTTAGTGACGTCAGAAGTTGTACGGCTAGGTGTCTTGCTAGTTGTTCATCCGAGCTCCGACGAGTTGCGATCATTTCGGGTTAATAACTCGCACTGGGTATTGGATGATTTGTTTCAGACAGATTCAGTCTTGCCATTTTATTAATTTCTAGCGCTGGACTGGGGTTTGTGAGTCTTTATAGTGGAAGGGATACTTATCTGAAGAGGTGGGAAAGACTGGGCGGTGTTTCACTGCACGCTGCTACCACGCTGCTATCGCATTTCGCGAGCTGACGTCACAGATTGTGGCAGTGTTGGAGATGTCTCCATGGAAACCCAGTTTGACACGTGTGCTAGCAGCGTCGGCCGTGAACCAGGGCCCTGGCCATGCGCTGGATGTATATTGTATAGGTGGTGTTTCACCGGTGATAGCAGCACGCTGCTATTCCATTTCGCGAGCTGACGTCACACTTGTGGTAGTGTTGGAGCAATGGGCTTGTTGACGTCTCCATGGAAACCTAATTTGACACGTATAATAGCAGCGTGCTGCTATCACCGGTGAAACACCACGATAGCGATCCAAGTGGTATATCTTATGACTATGCTTTGGGCGTCAGATGTGGTTTGTTGCCGTCCCCTGGCCCAGTCCGTCAACAGGCTCCTCTTATTGTAGATTCGAGAACTCATTCCATCTCTGTACCCATCACTCCTAGTACCCACCACATCTTCCGAGTACCCATCACTGCACCGGCCGCGGGGGTTCTCCAGTCTTCATTGTGCGCCAGGCGAGAGATGGAGGTCAGGGCCGCTCGCTCATTGGCCAGGAGCGACTCTGGAGCGACTTGGGAGCGATTCGGGAGCGGCTCGGCTGCTGCGGTGCGTGATGGGGGCATAGGCGTGGATACCGGCGGACGTCTGAGGGTGGTGACATGGGCGGGCCCAGGATTTTGGTTTAATGAGTAGTAAGTAGTAACTCGTGCAAATTAAGGCTTGACCTACGATTTAAGCTTGATACAAGCGTGCCAAGTTTAACTTCTTAAGTTCACGTTTTTATTGACTGGCCCTTTTACATCCGATGCCATTCGCACGTTTTTATTCACTGTTCCGTGTTTCTATGCATGGTCACTCAATCATTTCTCTGGCTGAGCGCTAGTGGAATTCGAGCCCCAGATGGACCCGATAACACGTCTAGAACTGGCAGCGTAGCTTTGGGAGTAATACCTATCTAAATCACGGCCCGAATTTAGAGCATGAACGTTTCTTCGGCATTAACCCGGCGGCCGCTGGGCCTCCGCGTCACCCGCCGGCCGCTGGGGGGGGGGGCATATAGTTGCCCCCCCTTACTTCTGCGACGATATCGTCGCAACGCGAAGAGATAGAGAAGCGAAACTTTGCACACATCTTCCTGAATACCTAGCCGAGGTTGTGTCCAAATTTGGTGTCGACCCCATTTGAAATGACGTCACAGTGACGTCATAAGTGAAGTTATAGATTTGAGACTCTCATAATCCTCACGATACATCAGATATATGGGACCGAATATAAAGGGTAGATTATTGGTCAGAAACTAGATGGAAGTGTAGTTAGATGTTTTAGGATGACAGCAGGTGCTGTCTAGTTCATTTAGGTACAGTTGAGTTTCATGCTCAGCGTCATCAGAAACGGTCCATATCGGAAAACGACAAAACTTTATGACGTCACTGTGACGTCATCTTAGGTGCTACAGCCACCAAACTTTCCTCAAACATTGCCTAGGTATTCATTTGAAGCTATGCCAAGTTTCAAGTTCGTAGCTCATCAGGTTTCGAAGGTATTTCACAAAACGTAAAGGGGGGCAACTTTATGCCCCCCCCCCCCCAGCGGCTCGTGGGTTAATGTTCCATTCCCCAGCTCAATCAACTGAACCTTGGTCTGCTAATTCTTCTCTGGCGAATGCTGCGGTAGGGTCGCCGATCAGAGTGGGAGAGTCGGTAAGGCTCCATGGCTTCTTACGTCTGCAATTGAGCCGGTCAGTGGAGTGAATTCACGAGATTAGGGCGATGATCCGTGGATTTATGACAGCAATTTCAAACAATGGCCTCGGAGCTTCGGACGACCCGACGATGTTAACTAACGTTGCGGCTCACTCTGCTCAACAGAGTTAGCACCTCCACTCTCCAGCCTATCTGCGCATTTAGACTCCACTCCAGCTATCGAACCTTTGAACCCTACCTGACTTATGGACGTTTCCGGGATCCGGTTCACATGTGCCACTAACCACGAGCGGAGCATACCGGAGCTCTGGTTCGAATATGATGCAGGTTGGGTGGTAACGAGAAACCAGACGCCTAGTTATAGGTGTCGAACGCGGTCAGCGGTTACACAGACAAAGGCGAAGGTGGGGCTTGGACTCAGCTGAATCCTGGGAGAGTTGGTATGTATCCTTGTCATTCGTGCGACCGCTACATGGTGAAATATTTGATTTTTTGGTATGTTCATCCTTCGTCGCGCGTTGCAAGGCCCTGTCTTTATAGGCCCTTTAACAATAAGAAACAAATTAGAAAGACACAAACGCCACAATTAGATTGTGCGATATGATATCACTTTGAAAGAACATATAAGAAAGGTCAGACTGACGTGTCAGCATTTGTGTCTTAGGTCGACTTTTTCGCCAATCTCGTCTATTTTACGATTAATAAAAATCGCAACATTTTTACATTTACTTTAACATTTTACATCATTTATTTCAGCAAGCGCTATTGTCAAACAACAAATCATTAATAGGAATACAGGAGTAGGTATAGAGACCTATACGTGTCAGCTCCCCATTCCAAAGTTCTGGTTTGGGGCAAACGAAAAACCTGACCTACTGGCTACTGCGAAGATGTTGATTCTGCAAGCATGCGAGTTCCTCTCCTATCTTGACCATTTTGTGTGTTTTATAAAACACCATTAATTGCGCTCATGCCCCTTTCCCCGCGAAAGAGGGCTATCCTTATACATCTACATCAATCAAAAGCAAATGATTCGGTTTTCCCGTATTGGTTTACCGTACCAGCCTACATGCATGATTTATTCGCCCGAGTTTTAAGACATACACCTTCTATTTGTCCCTATCTCCGCCTCCCTTCTTCCTGTCCCTACCTCCGCCCGTGCGCCTATCTCTCCTTACCTGACTGCCGTCTGCGGGCTCTGCCCCCCCCCCCCCCCAGTCAGCTGACGGTCGCGGGGGAGGGGGAGGGGGCTGTGAGCTCGCGCCGGCCGCCCTGGCAGTCGGGCGGGCTGTGTCTGCTCGGCGGGGCCCGTAAGGAGCCGCGGGACCTACGGCGTACGAGGGCAGTGTGTCAGTGGTGGACGTATACGGTGGACCACAGGAGTGAGCGGTGCAGTGGGCGGCCAAAGGCGGAATAACAGGGTAAGTAACATGTGACTGGCGATAGTTATGATTTTGGCTGTCGATGTGAAATGTTACGATAGATGAAGATGTCTAACGTCCTATTTATTTAGGTGCTTAAATACCTGCTTCGCTATCGCTTTTGATTTTATCAAATTTCAGGAGTGCTGAATAAGAATGTCCAGTGGGATAAGCACGCTGGAAAAGGAACACATTAATTGCTCGGTTCCAACATCGCCAATTTTAACTGCTAACATACACATACTGGTCACTCAACTCACTCTGTGCTATGTTAAGGATCTGCCGAACCCCGTGCTTTCCCTTTTCTCAGTGGTTATTCTCCATTCGTTCTGTCGTTCTTCACGACGGTTTGTATGTTTTTGTAAGACACCTCAGTCTTCAGATACAGCCTCCGGTCTTACTGCATGTCTCTGTATTCCTGTGTTCTCAGCTTGACCGAACACACAACACACAACCAGCCGCGCCTCCGGCCGCGCTCCACACACACACCCTCTGCCCAGCGCTCTGCTCTGCTCTGCTCGCGCGCCGACGCGCGACCGCTTCCCGCCACAGCCGGGAACACGATTTAGCCGTGCATCCTTCACGGCTCTCGGCCACTAAATAATATTATACCTACTTACACTCCTCCCCTCCTATTGAACAATATGCCAACGACAGTCACAACAAACGCTTAATCAAAAGACCAGTGAGCAGGGTTGAACCGTTTCGGGGGGCGTACTTCACGCCCGAAACGGGTGACAGTTCGCGGCCGCTGATCCACATCCCGCGGCGGCTCGGCATCGAACGGCGGCGGCGGGGACGGCGGCGGAACATGTGGTACCTCCGGCCGGTGCGGCACAGCGTCATGGAGCGGTACAGGGTCAGGTGGCGGCACACAGTCAGGTCGCATCTCGGGCAGACGCGGCATCGGCACGTGCGGCAAAACAACAGGTTGCGGTACATAGCGGCCAGCTGTGACACCTTGGGGCGGAAATACAATTGGCGCCCCACCCATACCAGGCACACTATGGGGCCGGGCAATGGGCGTTCCCGGCACATCTCGCCAGAGAGACAACCCATGCGCTCTTGTCGCGGTCCTGTGCCCCTCACTCACAGCCGGCGGGCGCTCCACTGTGTTGTCCGGCTTCAAGCGGTTGTGGTGCACCACCAGACTGCGCCGCTTTCCCTCCTCGCGCACTCGATAGTTCACTGGTCCACATTGTTCTATGATCTCAGCCGCACGCCAAGGCCTCACAAACTTATGATATTCACCGCGCTTCGGTACATTGCGAAACAAGAACACTTTGTCACCCGGGCGATACGACCACTCGTTCATTCTGCGCTCATACAAAGCTTTGTTGCGGTCATGGGACAGCTGATCGCGCTTAACCACATCCTTAAAAGTAAGTCGGAGTGTCTCTCTCAAATCGTCTATGTACTGGGGGAAGGTTGGGGCCCGATCCACAACCGGCCGATCACCCAGCGAGGCTTCCGCCGGCAGGCGGGGCTCTCGCCCAAACATCAAGGCGAACGGAGAGTATCCCGTGC